AGAGTGGAGGGGTGGCGAAGGAGAGGAAGACCTTTGATGAGATGGATCAACTCTGTGACTAGAGAGGTGAGAATAAGTGCGTTTGAGATGGCTAGGTTGGCACAGGATAGAAGAGTGTATAGAGCTCTTGTACATAGGGTCGCTATGAGTCGCAAGCGACTCGATGGCACATAACAACAACAACAAACACATGTTATGGCATTATAAACATTGTATAACTATTTTTAAAAAATAATGGAGAAAATATATACAGAAAAGAGGAACCTTATTAAAATTCAACAATTATGTTGGTGACAGTGTAGATACTGTTACTTTTCATTTACAGGGCTGAACAAACAAATAAATTGCTTATACTAATGAAGAATTAGGGAGGAAGTTCTTAACTATGATGGCTTAGAGGGTAAGGATTTGAATTGCCAAACTAAAAGCAAGTGACTGGACTCCACCAGCAGATCTGCAGGAGATAGATAAACAATCTCCTCCTGTGCGATTTACAGCCTCTGAAAACTCACTGGAGAGTCAGCAACAGGTCAATTCCAACTCAACAGCAATGAGCTTTGAGTCCTTAGTATATAGAATTTTACTTTATTTATAAATATAGTTATTATCTCAGTTGTGAAAAAGGTAGAAACAGGTGCTCTAAAGGGTTTTTTCTACAAATGGAGCCAGAAAAAGTACAAAATTATCCAGGAATATCCTTCCATATCAGAGAGCTAGCAATGGCACTATGAATACTGCTAGATTTGTGTTTAAAGGACTTGCTGGCCAGCCTGAAGAACCTCCCACTGGCAAAAAAACAAAAAAACCCCCACCAATCTGAGGATTAATAAGGACAATAAATGTAATGAATTGATATACATTAAATATATTCATGTCCATAAATCTCTAGTGATTAAACCTAAAATTTTAACTGATAAACTTCAGAAAAACTAACTTTATATTTTCTAACCCTATTTTTCTTCTTTCCTGAAAGCCTGGAAGTTCAATTTATTGGTGCGCAGGCTAAGACAGGGCAGTGCTAACCAAAGTCTTCATGAACGCAGGGCCTATCACGGGTCCAAAGAGCCACAACTGCCGATGTATTTCACTCCACAACCATCTGCAATGAGGTGCTTTTGAGCCACCATGTTTTCAAAACTATGAAACGCTTCACAAATTTGCACATCATCCTTGCTCAGTGAGCACACTAATCTTCTCTGTATCATTCCAATTTTAGTACACGCGGGCCGAAGCGAGCACTGTCTAATTCTATATTTTAAAACTTGGTAAGTTAAGGAAAAGACCTAAATGTATATCTTCCCTTTCCTGTGCCAACTGTACCACTCAGTATCTATACAGCTATCTGTCTACATACTGACTGTGATTGCGCATGGATTCTGACTCAAGGCAATCCCTGTGTGCAGAGTAGAAATTGTCCACAGGGTTTTAAAGGCTGTGACCTTTCAGATGTCGATTCCCTGGCCTATCTCTTAAGAAAAGCCTCTCAGTGGCTTCAAACTTCAACCTTTCAGGTAAGAGTTGAGTACTTAACCCACTATGTACACGACACAAAGGGGTTCCCAAAGTGCCCACACAAAAGTATTCAGCAAACGAACAGGGAAGAAAGGAAATCATTAGAGTGCTACCACATTGCAACTTCCTTTCTGTGACTAAGAATCCAAGTACAGAGCAATGAAGGCTGCTAGAATAGGAGAGAAAATTGGACATTAATTAGGACATCTTCTGATCTATGATGTATTCTCCTGAAATTCACACTCTGATTAACCCTCCAGATGAAATCACCAATTTGAAGAAACAGGGGGAAGAGTTACATATAATTACAAGAACACAATTGGCAAAATTTTAACTGAGGGAACCAAAAGGTAAATGATGCTTCTTTCACCAAATAAATTACAAGGACAAAAAAAGTTTGGGAGAAAACTATAGATTGAAAAGCAATCTAGGCGAGCTCTGGTGGCCTAGTGGCAAGAAGCTGCACTGCAATCCTAGAAGTACGTGGTTCAAATCCACCAGATGCTCTGCTGGAGGAGGAAAAATCTCCTCCTGTACCAGTCAGATCTGACTTGACAGTACACACACACAAAATAATAAAAATAAAATAAAAAAAAAAGAAAAGCAATCTAAGAGAAACAAGATAAAACAAATGACACAAAACATACAAGATTAAACTACTCTGTTTAGAGGTGGTTGGGATAAAATCATTAGGAAAAGTAAAAGGAGATTAAGACAAGACGGGTTGCTTGAAGAAGAGGGAAATAAAGGCTGTGCTAAGTAACAGGATGAAGAAGTCTTGGTTTGCTTGTAAGGTTTAACCTCCTTTCACGGATGTTGATCCCAAGAGTCTCCACTTTATAACAATTCACTGAACTATGAGTCTATTTACTGTTGTAAGAAGAAAAAAAGATAATTTTTTTACTTCTAAAATGATATACATTAAGGTATTAAAACCTCTGTACCTGGTGTAAAAAACAAACCAACCAAGAAAACCCCCTCTGTGCTGTGTGAATAGTTTTATTTATTTTCTATGTAACTGTACTGCCTAATTTTCTACTATTATTTTTCTATCAAATTGTAGAGAATGGGAATTTCAGAGCATTTAATCGTGCTCAGTCAGAACTTGTTCATGAATGAAGAGAAAGTTGTTCAAATAGAACAAGAGGATCGTGTGTAGTTCAAAGCTGAAAAAGGCTTGTGGTAGGGTTAGGTCTTTTCACCAAATGAAGAATATGGCATCAAAACTGGAGGATGATTCTTTAACAAAGAGTGATATGTACATGAAGCAATGTTGGTCACAAAAAATGAAGACAGTTTGAAGAAGGTACAAATGAAAATCAAATACCTTGAGTATGGATTATACTTCAACATAAAGAAAACAAAAATCTTCACAAGTGGGCGGAAAATAGCACAATTAATGAAGAAAACACTTAAACTGTAGGGGGGAAAAACTGAAGATACCAAAGATTTTATTCTAATTAGACCAATAATCAGCATCCACAGGTACAATGGTTAAGAAATCAAATTATGTCTTGCACTGGGAAAACCTATGGCAAAAGAGCTTTTAAATATTTAAAAAGCAAAGACATCACTAAGGTATATTTGATGCAGGCTGTGGTCTTTCAAACACCTCACATGCATACAAAAGTTGACAGTGAAAAAGGAACACAGAAATACTGATGTATCCGAATAGTGATGATAATGAAAAATAGCTATATACCGAGGACTGCCAGAAGAATAAACAAATTGGTCATAGAAGAAATAAAAGTAGAATATTCCTTGGAATGTCACATGGCAAAGCTGTGACTTGCTTACTTTGGGCACTAGTAAAGACCAAAAGGCCATCATGGTTGGTAAAGAAGCAGGTCAATGAAAATAAAGGACACCCTCGATGACATGAACAGACACAACCATGAATTTAAATACAGCAAAGATCATGGTGATGGCAAAGGACCAGGCTACATTCCACTACATTCTATTCTGTTACATATACAAAAATGGTCTCCACAGCTGGAGCCAAATTAATTGTAATTAAAAATGAGACAGATTGGCACAGTGACTACAACAATGAGTAAAAGCCCGGTGGAAATCAAAACAATGGTTCAGGATAAGGCAAGGTTTCATCTGTTGTGCACACACTCATTATGAGTCATAGTCAATATAATGGCACCTTATAACCTAAAACAACAACAGAGAGAGAGAGAGAGAGATGCACAGCTTCTGTAGGGGACTCTAGTGGCAAGAAACTGTGCTTCAATCCCAAAGGCACTCAGTTCAAGGCCACTAGCTTATCCATGAGAGAAGGGAGTTAATCTCCTCCCACGTGATTAACTGTCTCTGTTGGTTCTGACTCCATGGTACACAACAACATCAGCTTTTCTATAAGAAAATTTTAATTTTGAAAAATATTTCAGATGCTAGAATACACAACTACTGAAAACCTACTAGGGAGCTTTAGTGGCTTGGTGGTAAAGAATTACACTGGCAACACAAAGTTAATCTACCGGCTGCTCCTCTGGAGAAAGACGTGAAATCTCCTGTGAGATTAACTGCCTCTGAAAAACCACTGGAGGATCAATTAGGGGTTGGTTCTGACTCCACAGTACATAACAACAACCACCACCATGTACTAGAAAGTTTATAACAGTAGATGGCAGTTATCTAACTTGGTAGTCACACCCCAGTTCTGGCCCTTATGACAAAGTAGCAATACAAAACGGACAGAGTAAAAGTAATAACATTACTGAGAAATATTTTTTAAAAGTGCTATTAACAATTAGACTTAGATATTTTATTAGGCAAAAGGATAATTCCTAAAGATAGACATACATCACAAGATCCAAAAGCATATAGAAATTTAACATCTGGCAAGAATAAGTATAGAAGAGTGTTAAAATATGCCACCATGTTTGTTTGGGTTTTTTTTCATGCTTTTATATGCAAAGAAGGCTTCAGAAAACAAAAGAGAAATGAGTGAGAAGTGCTGCCTTACGGGGAAGAGTAGGGTGACCAGCGGCAGGGGTGACAAGGAGACATTTCATCTATGGTTTGAACTGTATACACAACATGTGCTGAGAGGCTATTCCTCAGAACAGGACATCATGCTTGGGCAGGTGGAGGGTCAGCAAAGGAGAGAGAGATCCTCAATCAGGTGGGTTGACACAGTGACTGCACCAATGGGCTTGAGTGTGTCAGAGATTGTGAAGATAGCACAGGATAGAGCAGTGTTCAGATCTGTTGTTCATAGGGTCTTAATGAGTTGTGCTTGACTTGATGGCATCTAATAACAAAAACACATGCTATGTATATTTTAAAAAATCATGAGACTGGAAGTATTATTATGCTTAACTATACGATCAACACTGTCATGTCCTAAATAAGCACAGGAGCATGGATCTAGACCAAACATGAGAGAGAACAGGAAGCCAAGTCTATGCTGAAGCCTCCTAGGCACCTCCAATGTGCGGTGGAGGTCACAGAGCCCCAGAGGGCTAAAGGGCAGCTGGCTTACCTGGCTCGTCCACTGGATCTGGGACCACGCTGACTAGTTTGCCATACTTGTCTCCTCTAGACTTCAGATCAAAGTAGACATTGCCTATCATAAAAAGGTAATCATCAAAGTCATCATTTATTAGTCTTAAACAGAATCATTTGTAGAAGTTTAAGATTTAACAAATTATCAGAATACAAAGACAGACTATGACATTTGACCTTAATTTGGTCCCTTTCACTAAATTTTAAATCCAAAATAAAAAACCAAACACCCTGTATTATAAAAAGGGAGCTAAGGTGGCCTAAGGTTCAAATCCACCAGTTACTCCCCGGAAGAAAGATGGACAATCTCCTTCCGTGCCATTTACTGCCTCTGAAAACCCACTGGAGGGTCAGCTATAGGTCGGTTCCAACTCGATGGTACATAACAACAATATAATAAAAGCATGTATTTATACATACCATCAACTTAAGAAAGTGAAGATGAAAATATATATGCAACTGATCTGTCAAATGTATACAATTCTTAATAGGAAGAAAGAAAAGTGTTGCCCTATCTTCATTTAGCTCTTTAGCTTTAACAAACTCATTGCTATTGAATCAGAACCAACTTGTAGCTGATTTGTCAGCAGTTTTTCAGAGGCTGTAAATCACATGGGAAAAGACTGCTCATCTTTCTCACAAGGAGCAGCTGGTGGGCGTGAACCAAACACAACTCCTTACCCACGATGGGCTTCATATTACACACGAATGAATTTTAAAACTATTTATCCCAATAGTTTCTAAAATTATCTTTTTACTTAGATTAAAAAGAGCATCTCTTCACTGGAAGTATCTATGCAGATGTTCTTTTACAGAGATAGAAAAGATAATCTTAGTCACAGAGAATTTTTACAGAACCAGTTTTAACTCTTTGCTATCTCAGACTATAGGCTATTAAAAAACAAAAACAGAGAGGTTAGATGTTGAGAGCTAACAATATTAACAATAAATCATGCTAACCCAGGAACTCAACACAGCTGTAGAGACTTCTGTGGATTCTAAGCCTGTGCTTCTCCCAAGAATGATGATGTTGCTAAATACAGCTGTGAATAAAATAGCTAAATCATTGCCGTCAAGATAGAACCAACTCGTAGTTCACCCTCTAGCAGATTTTCAAAGGCCATAAATCACACAGGAAGAGAATATCCATCTTTTCCCCACAGAGTAGCTGGTGGATTTGAACCATGAGTCTTTGGAGTGGCAGCAGAACTCAGAATGATTGTAGAGACTGCTGTGGCTTCTAGACTATTGCATCTTCCAAGGAAGAGGATTAATTACAGGAAGTTGTTAATTACAGCTGTGAACCTGGTCCTGATATCACAGAAGGGAGCACTGGTGGCCGACTGGGCTACGAGTTGTGTTGCCAAACTAAAAGCAAGCAGTTCAAATCCACCAGCTGCTTGTTGGGAAAAAGATGGGCAATCACAGCCCCTATGATTTACAGCCTCTGAAAGCCCACTGGAAGATCAGCCATGGCTTACTGACTCAACGGCAATGAGAGAGAGAGAGAGAGAAAGAAATACCACAAAACTGCATTCTTTAATCTGTAAGCACATACATCATATTTAACTTTTCATGGCTATCACTAGGACTTAAAGATCAGCACAGTTTTTCAATCTTTACAAATTTTAAATTTTAATATTCATTTCTTCCAGTAACATTGCTACTCATTCTTATCTGTACTATCCAGACTGGCAGCACTGGAATGAAAAATAGGTATACCATGATCATGGAAACTTAATTATTGCCAAATAACCAATCACCACACAGTAACCATGGTGAGTACAAGCAGTACTCAAAGACTTGTACAGTGGTTCCCTTTGCAACTCAGGACACAGGAAGACCATGACAGCCTCCTCAGCCACAGGCATCATTCATTCTCAGGGTCCTAGAGAGCTAAAAAGACCCTGAGTCCATACAACCTGTCTTGTCCATATGTTTCCTTGTCATTCACAGATCTGACTGCAGAGATACGGAGGAGCTGAGGGAGCTGCTTTATAGTAGATTAGACTTGTCATGTGTCATTGAGTTGACTACAACTCATAGCAACCTTACAAACAATGGTTCTGAACGTATCTTATCCTTAGCCAGCCTCACCATCTCTGACACACCTAACCCCATTGCCATAGTCACTGTGTCAGTCTACCTCATCGAGGGTTTTCTTTTCCTGCACTGACACTCCACCCTGAAGAGGGTATACTAGGTTTTTCTTTGAGACATGAATTTTGAAGCTCCGTCTAACAAATTTTGGATATATTGGCTAGAGGGACCAGACTTTGGAAGACATCAATGAAAGGGTGGAAGGGCCAGCTCAGATCAGTCTGGGCTTAGAGTATTATAAGTAATAGTATCCCATGTAAATAACACTTTGAGAATACTTTAAAAGAATGTAGAAATTGTTCTCTGACAGAATATTTTCTCATCAATTTATTTAACAAACTGTTTCTTCACAAACAGTCCAAAGATCAAATTACAACTAAGTCTTCATGGAATTGTCACAAATTCTAAACTAGTGGAATTTGTGTGAATGTAAATTTATTGTAAATTAACTATATCTGTTACCATGATTCCAGTTTTACACTAAAGTATAATAATAAGGCAAATAGTGTTTACTGTGAATCTCTAAACACCTTTATGAGCATTAGTGTCTTTTGGAAGACAGAAGCATGTAGATGTTTATTTCAAGTTATACAAGAGCAGGAAAGCAATTCCTTCATTTTCTGAAGCAAACTCCAAATTAGTTACCTTAAGTCTTTAAAATAAAATCTAAACATAGTAAATTAGATAAAGTGAGACAAAAACAAAACACCAAACCAACCAGCACATTCTTCCATATGTAAAGGCTACTGAATACAGTCAGTGCATGGGAAAGGTGGGTCCCTAATACTCAGGCTTTCAGAATCAATCCATAAAGGAAAGATGCTTGCAGTTCAATAAGCTCTATAAAGTGTATATTGTTGTTTACTTTCAGTATTTCCACTTCTGCATATACCCAGCCCTGGGCTAGACACTAAAATGGATTATTTAATAAAGCAAAAGATTTTTATGGTCTAAGAATCTATAATCTTGATATGGATAAAATATAAACATATTAAACAACAAACTAAAACATCATACAACTACCTGCCAACAATACAGTACAGACATAAATACTTGGAGAGAATGTTCCCTTTGAGCTATGGCTGGCAAAAAGAGTGCTTCAGAGGGATGAGAAGGATTAGGATTTAAGAATGGCTAAACAAGAGATAGTACAGCTAAAAATAATGCTTGATCATGTAAGTAAAAAATACCAGGATACCAGTTGTGGTGCTAGCCTAAAAGTTGGCTTTGTTAGTCATTACATTTAGCTGTCTCTGATCTTCAGCTACCTCAACTGCAGGCACATGGTCTTGCAATCAGTATGTCAGTATGAATAGTTCAAGTCAGCATCAGCCGTGAAACTAGGATAAGGGAGAGACTGCTTCCTACACTGGGCAGCAAGACCTGAGGTAAGCAAGGCTTGTGGTGGAAGACCCTGGTGAGAGTGAGACACTAGTGGTGGAGAGACTGTGGCATTGGAGAGGACAAACAATAGCAAGGCGTGACCTGAAGCTGCCTGCATTTGTGCTGGCCGCAAAAGTATGGCTGTTCTTGCCAGATGTTCGAAGACTACTGAACTGAAACCAGAGTCTGGGCTTATTCAGGAATTGTGCCTTTGACTTATTGGGCTAAAGCCTCAACTTGTGAGATATTCTTTGTCTCCCTCAGTCACTTTCCTAATAAACCCCATTGCTGCTACTGTAACTGTTGAGTCAGCACGAATAAATGAACTTCTACTTCTGGGGCTCTAGTGGCACCATGGTGCTAGGTATGGGCTCCTTATATGCTTTCTACTCTGGAGCAGTGAGGGGCTGTGCTATTCTTACTCCCTCTTGCCCTTTCAGAGAGATGCTCATGACTTTGTGCCCCTATTTGGGTTTTCCCCTCTTTAAACATCAGGCTTACCCCAAGGTACAAAACAAAAAGGACTCCTTAAATAAATCAAACTCCACCAGGGGAAATCATCACACAAAATCAGAGTATGAGATATTCTCTAAGATGACTGAGCTAGTTATGATTCTTTACACAAAGTCTGTGCCCATGGAAGACTGTTTTAAATGAAGAAGCCAAAATGACACAGTGACCAACAGCAATGTACGATCTCAAATAGATTTTGAATTGGGGGGGTGAGGAGAAAATAAGGAAAGCTATCTAGGACCAATTTAGTAAATATTAGTATTGTCTGGATAATGGATATATCAAGGGATTATCATTACTTGTCTTTAGGTTATGATGTAGGGGAATGCACTTATTATTTAAAAAATGTACAGTGAAGTATCAAGGGACTAAAGTGTTAAAATGTCTGCAATTTATTGTCAAATGGTATATTAAATTAAGTATATACTCACACACAAAGATAAAGGTCTCAAATGCCAAAGAGAGACTCTGGAGGTACTGATTTTGTGCCCAACTTGTTATTTTTTATTACTGAATTTAATGAAAGTTTACAGAGACCTAGGGTTTCCAGTCATTCATTGTTGCACTTTTCTCCTTGCCCACTCCCTCCCCTCCAAATTCACTTTTCTTCTTGATGAGTAAAAGAAAAACTCTTTAATTGCTATGCAATCCCTCCCCCCAAGTCCACTGCACTGTGCAGCCTTCATTCTGGATTCCTGTCATGACAATAATATCTAATCACTTATTCTTTTTAAACAGTTCTCTCCGTCATCTGTGGCAATGCAGTATACACCATTGCTCCCCTTCTCTGTCTTCCTTCAACCCCAAGGTCAGTCCTGTTATACAGTAGTGGCCCTATGCAATATTTGTTCTTCTGTGACTGAGGCATTTCACTCAGCATAATGTCCTCTAGGATCATCCACTTAGCATAGTATTTCATGAATTCCTTGTTTTTCAGTGCTGCATAGTATTCTGTTGTGTGAATATACCAGAACTTCTCTATCCACTCATTTGATGATGGGCACTTGGGTTGTTTCCAGCTCTTTGCTATTGTGAACAAAGCTGCAATTAATAAACATGGGTGTGCATACATCTGCTTGGGTGGTGGTTATGGTTTCTTTAGGATAAATTCCCAGAAGTGGAATTCCTGGCTCAAATGGTATATCTATTTGCAACCAACTTCTTATTTCTAAGCAAAGAGATTAGAATTAATACCACAAATAACTATGTACTTACCACCTAGACTCAACAAATGTTAACGTTTTGTAACACTTTCTTTTTCTAGACTAGTTCTCTACACACTCATCTATCTCATCCTGAGAGTGAGGAAAATATTGTTTTAAAAGAAGTGATTCAACTGATCCTTTTTCTGGTTCATGAACATGATGATTGGGCATTTATGTTTTTGTATGACATGTGCCAACCCTTAAATCTTGTTATGACATGGAACATTACCTATCTGACATGAAAAAAAAGCAGATTCAGTCATTTTGAAAAGAGATATAATAACTATAGAAAAGTCCATAGTATTTTCACTAAGAACCACATAAAAAAAGCATATCTGCATGGTTTAAAATTAAGAATGGTTTGTTTCAGGACTGTATCCTTTCTCTATGCCTCTTCAATCTACATGCTAAGCAAATCATTCAAGAAGCTGGCATCTGCATAGGAGGAAGGCTCATCAACAACCTGTGTTATACATATGACACAATCTTGCTTGCTGAAACATTTGCTGTAGAAGATCAAAGACTAGAGATTACACACACACACACACACACATTGTGGATTAAATGTCAACATAAATAAAAGAAAAATCTTTACCTCTGGGTCTATAGGCAACATAAGTGGAGAAAATATTAAAATTGTCAGCAATTTCATCTTACTTGAATCCACAAGTAACACTCACTCTTGGTATCAACAGTAAAGAAATCAAAAGATGTATCATTGGGCAGATGGAGGGTGGTGGTGGAGGAATGGGAAAGATTCAGCAGGGACCTGATAGGCAAAGATCAATAGTCATTAATTACATAAAATACAATGTATATGAATGATTGTATGAAATACAATGTAAATGAAAGACTATTGCACAACCATGTCTATTGGCAGCTTTGTTCACAATAGCAAAGAGCTGGAAACAACCTAAGTGCCCATCAACAAATGAATGGATAGAGAAGCTCTGGTATATTCACTCAATAGAACACTAGGCTGCATTGAAAAACAAGAAACTCATGAAATATTATACAAAAATGGGCGACCCTGAAGGACATTATGCTGAGTGAAATATCTCAGTCACAAAAGGACAAATACTGCATAGTGCCACTGTTGAAAAACAGGACTGACATCAGGGCTGGGGGAAGACTGAGAAAGATGGGATAAATTATGTATACTGCATCGAAACCTATGAGGGAGAGAACTGTTCAATGGGGATATATGATTAGGTATTATTGTCATGACAGGATCCAGAATGAAGGCTGCACAGTGGAGTGGACTTGTGGCGAGGGATTGTATACCAATGAAAGAATTTTTCTTTTACTTTTCAAAGAGAAGAGGGAACTAGGGGGAAAGGGTGGGAAGGGAGAAAAGTGCAACAATGAATGAATGGAAATCCAAAGTCTATGTAAACTTTCATTAAAATTAATAATAAAATAATTTAAAAAAAACACAATATACATGAATGAAGCACAAAATGCATACGAATTATTGTATGCAAACAAATTTTTTAAAAAAATGTACTGCATTGGGAGAGTTGCCTGACCTCTCCAAGGTGCTAAGGAACAATGATGTCAGTTTATAGACTAAGGTGCACTTAGTTCAAGCTATCATCTTTACAATTACTTTCAATTCACCTGAGAGTTGGAAAATGAATAAGGATGACAAACAAAGAATCAATGCCTTTGAGTTATGGTGCTAGAGAAGAGAACAGAGTATCTCATGGACTTCCAAAGAAAGAAATAAATACATCTTAGAGAAAATGTAACCAAGGTGTTCCTTAGAGGCAAGAACAGCAAAACTTCATTTCACTTAATTGGATATTTGTTAGGAGGGAGGGTCCATTCCTTGAAAAAGAGACATCATGCTTAGAAAGGTTAAGGGTCTGTAGCAGTGGGCTCAAATATGTCAGAAGTAATGGAGACTACACAGGATAGAACAAAATTCAGATCTGTTTTTCATAAGGTCATTATAAGTTATACTTGACTCTGTGGTACCTAACAACAACAACAGGTGGCATGTGTCCCATCAATTTATATCTATATGTAGTTTATAAAAATTTTATCAGTGTTACCAAGATTAGTACTGACAGCAAAAGCCCTACCTTTCATTGTTGAATAAGCATGCCCATTAGCAATTATTCCCTCGATGAATGAAATTATCTGAGGAATATTTTCAGTTACCCTCAAGTACACTGTAGGTGGGAGAACCTGAAATAAAAGGAAAAATACCATGTTTCTGTAGCTGGAAAGCAGGAGTCTACCACATTGGAGATTTTGTTTTATTCTCATTCTTTAAGATTTTTATCCATATGACAGGAAAATCAACAACCAACTTTACCTGAAGAGCACTCATGTCTTGTTTAAAATCTTCTTCATAAAAATTGGCTAGAGAAGCAGGTGATATGTTCATCTGCAAAAGAAGTAGACAAATATATTACAAAGTCTGAAGTATTTACAACAGAACAACACTGAGATACAATTGATGATATCCAAAGCAAGTTTATATCTTCCTTGGGGTACATGAGCATGGCTGGGCTGTGAAACCCCACTGTGGTTTACTAACAACAATACGCACAAAATACAGCACTTAATTATAGTTCTTAAACTTATACTAATAGCTTGGCTAGTCACAATGGCTTCTTGACCCTATTTTCTGGATAGAGATGAAAAGGAAATAAATGTCATGATTTCTACAACTTAACAGCAAACAAGTTAAATAAAAACTAAAAACTTTCCTAAAAGAAGGGCAAAATCAGTCAAATCAACACAGCCCAAGAAAACCAGAATTCCTATTCAAGTTTTAACCCTCAGGAGGGAAAAGAAAACAAGTAAAAAACACATTAAAGAGAAGTCCCTGAAGAAATATTCTGAAAGTAAAAGAACACTTTAAAATAAGGTTCTTTAATGGAGTGTTAAGTCCCTCAGGTACCCTAAATGGGATTCTGGGGATAGGTATAAGCACAAAACAGCAAATTTAATTGTGAATGTATGTGCCATTTCTGGGGACATGTAACTGCAGCCTTGGTCAGATTCTTAAAGGAGTACGGGGCACATAAAGAAGCGGAGTCAGAATTATTATTACTTTTTCAATGGAAAAAGATTCCATAAAAGCAGCAAGTGACACTCTAAGTTTTGAAACTTAATCAGGATTCATCATCGTTGATTTTGGACATGTAATCCATGACTCATTCAAACTCATTAAAGAGTTTATAAGCATCTACAATGTGTTAGACATTTCTTTTATGCGATCTTCACACAACCCTGTGAAATAGACACTAGAACAGAAAATGTCAGCTCCAAAAAAGAAATAACTCCCTCAATCTAAACACCACGGGAGCCAGGGCATCACCTGAATCATGCTGAAGCCCACTTCCTATCCAAACTCTAAAACAGTGATAACTGTTAATGCTTCCTAAAATCCCTGTCCAACCAATGTTTCCTGAAGAAATACACATTGTAAAACAAGAATTGCCGCTAGGGTCTTTTTGTGTGCAGTCCTGTGATTTCCTCCCTCGCCATCACAACTGCTGGGTGGAGGGAGGGGGTAAAGGAACCAGGAAAGATCCAGTGGGATCAGAAAAAACAGGGTAATGGTGGGAGTAATCCAGTGGTAATTTATTTTATAAAACACAATATATGGGGGGAAAAAACAACCACAATGTATGGGGATGACTGTATGAAACATAATGTCAAAGAAGGAAAGAGTGGGGAAAACACCTGCATTAAAAAGTAAGATGATGATGATAATAATAATAATAATATAAATAATAATAAAGAATTACTGCTGGGGTCTTTTTTTTAAATTTAGTTTGTTTGGGGTCTTTTTTTATTGAGCTTAATCATCTAGGGCAAATCAATGACTATCTTGGCCTTCAGTTTTCTTTGTACCATGGAAATATTTATCATTGTCTACACTATGCAGGTTCACTGTGATGTATGGGTAAAACAAGTTCGTATATGCAAAGTATTAATTAATTATCAATGTTAAACAGATGATATACATAGGATCTAGCACACAGCCAGCATATAATTTTACACACATAAACACAGACACACTGTCTTTTTCCTTCATAGTTTTGTGACTAACTTGGTTGACTTATATTTTTCCAGAAGAGAAAAAAAAACCCAACCACCCAGTTGAACAAAAAGACCTAAAATTCAGCGTGGTCTAGTCATTTCAGAAATTTCAAACACAATGCAATTCTGGACCTAAAGATCGTCATATTCTTTTTACATATTTATCATTAATAGCACAAGTAAGCCATTCCTAGGAGAAGTCAAATGTCATAAAAGCGTAAAGAAGTCAGTTCTCTTTCCAGAGAGTATACAAGATCCCAGCTTTTGTTCAAGCTCGTGGTGTAGTTCCATAGGGAACTGAGCTAACACAAAGGTGGTACCTCTCTGGTAGATCAAATCCACTAGCAGCTCTCTGGGAGAAAGATGGGTCATCTCCTCCTATGCCATTCACAGCCCCCAAACACCTCGAGAGTCAGTTCAAACTCAACGGCAATGAGTTTTTGAGACATTTTTATTGTAAGCACATATTTGCAGCCTTTCCTTTAAATCCCAAATGTAGTAGTCGACACCCTGCTTCTTCCATTTAACATGATTTTGAGTCTTCCTACACTCGTATAACCTGAGCAGCCACAATCTTTTCAACAGCTGTATATGTTACATTTTATAGAATGAATATGACTCTTCTACCTGTCCTTTACTGGTTAAATTCTGCACATTCCAATCACTGGCTATTATAAACACCACTATACACAGCTCACTACACATAATTTCAGGTGTAATGCTAAGCTATTGTGATAAATGGTGGCAAGCTGTTTGTTCAAACACTAGAGTTAAGATGTTGCTTTGAAGGTATTTATATGTGATTAATATAAATCAGTCAACAACAACTCAATGCCATGGAGTCGGAACCAACTCATAACTGACCTTTTATTGGTTTTTCAGAGGCTATAAATCACATGGGAAAGAATGCCCATCTTTCTCTCCCATGGAACTACAGGTGGATTCTGATTTTTTTTTTTCAGGCTGTAAATTGCATGGGAAGAAAATATCTTTCTCCCTCAGAGCAGCAGATGGATTCAAACCTCCTGACTTTGGGCTGGAGGTTTAACTTCCTATTTACTAAGCCATTAGCACTCTCTTTATATCCATAGACCTTAATAAAGCAGATTATCTTCCATAATATGGATGAGCCTCAATCAATCAGTTGACGGTCTTAAGAACAAAACTTAAAAGTTTCCAGAGGGAGAAGGACTTGAACTCAAGATTATATATTCATATCCTGCCAGAATTTCCATCCTGGCCTACAAATTTTAGACCTCAATCCACTGGAAGTTTCTAATCTGTTGCCTGATTCTGACTTGCCAGTCCCACAATCATGTGAGCCAATTCCTTAGCCAATTAGTATCTCTTTCTGTGTGTGTGTGTGTGTGTGTGTGTGTGTGTGTGTATTTCCTGTTGGTTCTATTTCCTCTGGAGAACTGTAAGACACCTGGAAGCAAAAATGCTAGGTCACTGGAACAAGGAATGACGTAACATGTGTAATTTGCTATTGTTATTATCGATACTAAGTCCATTTCAACTCATATGACTCCATGTGACAGCAGAACAGCCTCTTAGGGTTTTTTCTAGACGGTGATCTTTATGGAAGTTTATCACCAAGTCTTTCTCCCAAGGAAGCACTGAGTGAGTTCAACCTGCAGAACTTTTGGTTAAGAGTCAAGCACTTAAACATTATACCACCACGGCTCCTACTACCAAACAGCCTTTCAGAGAAGTTGTACCAATTAAAACCTGAACAGCAGTGCTAGAGAGTACCTCTTTTCCTTGATCTTTAGCGTCAGTATCATCAAACTTTTAGACTTTGTCAAAATGATAGCTAAATAAAGGATTTTTAATTTTCATTTCTCTTACTCTGAGTTTGAACATCTTCTCCTGTTTAAGATTCATATGTACTAAATGAACTGTAACTGTCCATACCCCATTTTCTAATAGTCTTTTTCATACTAATTTGCAAGTATTTTATATTAAAGAAATGAACCTTTTCTTTGTGATACGAATTTCACATTTTTTCAGTCTTTCAACTTTAAGGTATTTTACGATATGTACACAATTTGATCTTTATATTTATCAAAGAGCAACGTCATCAGTCTGGAGACTAGGATGCACCTGATCCAGGCCTTGGTCTTCAGAATTACTTGCTATTTATCAGAAAGCTGCACAATGACTAGGGATGATAGAAGGAGAATTGATGCCTATGAGCTGTGATAATAGAGAAGTGTATTGAATAGACAATGGACTGCTAGAACAAATAGGTTCGTTTTACAGAAGGTAAAATCAGGCTGCTCCTTGGAGGCAAGGATTTTCTGAAGCTTTGTCTGACATACTGTTGAAAGGAGGGACCAGTTCTTGGAGAGGGACAACATGTTTGGGAGGGTGGAGGGACAGCGCAGGAGAGGAAGATCCTTGATGAGAGGGATTGATTCAGTGACTGGGGTAATGGGGGTAGGTGTATCAGAGACAATAAGGTTGGTTCGGGATAGAGCAGGGTTCAGAGCTGTTGTACATAAGGTCGTTATTAGTCGCAAGTGACTCCACAGCACATAACAACAACAAAAGTAATCCATAAATGGTTTCTGCAATAGAAAGATCTTCTCCAATATACATCAGGAAAAGTATATGTTAGGGTTGTAACCTTTCTTCATAGCTACTCATTCTGTATGCAGAGTAAATAATTTGAAAAGCTGAACTCTGTTAAAAAGAATGTGGCATTAGGATCAGAGAAAGACTCAGCAACAGCCTTTGTTATATGGACGACACAATCTTGCTTGCTGAAAGCGAGGAGCACCTGAAGTGCTTGCTGCAGTACATCAAAGACCACAGCCTTCACTATGGATTAAATCTCAAAATCAAGAAAACAAAAATCTTCACCAATAGGCAGAATCATGAAAAAAGGAGAAAAGATCAACTTTTTCCATTTTACTTGTATCCCGGTCAAAACCCATGATAACAGCAGTCAAGAAATCAAAAGAAGCATTGTGTTGGGGAAATCTGTCAAGGAATTCCTGAACATACTAAAGAGCACAGACAGCAGTTTAAGGACTAATGTGTGTCTGATCCAAGCCACAATATTTTCAATTGCTTCCTATTCATCTGAAAGTTGAACAACAAATAAGGAAGACAGAAAAGAATTGATGCCTTTGAACTGTGATATTGAATAAGAGTACTGAATATATCTGAGCTGCCAAAGAACAAACAAATCTCTCTGGATAAAAATTGCATCTCAGAAAAAAAAATTGCATCTCAAGTGCTCCATAGTGATAGAGGTGATGAAACTTCATCTCACTGATTTGGGGCATATTTTCAGGAGGGACAAGTCTTTGGAGAAAAATCATG